CAGCTTCTGTCAATGCACGAGTATACTTGTATCGAATTTTCAACAGTAAACATTTTTATATTTTTATGTAAACTTTGTTATGACGTCTAAAAAAAAGAATTCATTCTTCGAATAACAAAGAACAATCTTGTAGAAACTTTATTTCGTTTTTACGGAAACCTTGTGAAACACGGTAGTGAAAAGGTGAAAAATTATTCATTAACAGAACGATTATATAAACAAAAAACTCTCACAGTATATATAATATAATAAATGTGTCTTGCAATGCCAGACATCTCAGAAATATTTGGCAGAGATCAAATTTTAATGGCTAAATTATTTTGCAATAAAATATTTTACGATTAAAGGATTATAGGTACGATATTAGAATTCCCTGGTAAGAAAAGTTAGAATGATTGAGAATGATAGAAAAATCCTATCGTTTTGAATATGGAATCTGGTTCGTGAATTCACTGATTTGAAAGATCTTATAGGAACCTTGTACAAAATCTTATAGAACCCGATAAAATATGATAGGATCCATATCCGGTCGCTCGCGAGGTCGATAGAAAATCGACGATAAAAAATGATATAAACTTATAGAAAACGATACAAATTGATAGAAATCCAATCGTTTTCTCTATCAACTTTTTTTACCTGCAGGATTTAAAGGCGTTAAAATAATTTGTAGAGACCCGAAAGCCTGTATCAATTTCCCCGTTATCGGGTCTGACGTGTCGCTCGTCGGATCGGTCTGATAAACCAAGTGTCGCTGAAAATGCGTCAGTGCTCGACGAGTTCCGTTTAAACGTTTTCTTTCGATAAGAGATAGATACGAATCGGTCGCGGAAGTTCGCCGAGTCGAGAATCGGAGAATTAATAGAGTCGTCACGATTGGATTCGTCATTGTCCGCGGTGTGAGACTCGTATAAACCATAAACCACTACCAACCAGTTGTATGAAAGCGAAACGTAATAGCGAAGCGTGCTCGCCTTTGCGACGTAGAAAATAAATTCGATATCCAATGTCGTATGCAGTCGTATGTGTACCGTCACTTCAATCGCCACTGCTTCCTCTCGCGCAGAGTACTTTTGTTCTCCTTATACCACGATATATCATACAATGCAACGAGATAAAAACGCGACAAAAACCGCGACGACGCAGATTGTCATTAAACTTTTATGACATTTCTCTCAGTTTATTTAAATTGTAATTTATTATAAAAGTATAAATATTATTATTTACGATTTAAAATGCGAATAAAAATAAGATGCGCTTTTCTTATAAATTTGCTGAAATTTATCAATTTACTGAAATTTGAACAAGAGATTTAAAATTAAAATTAAGTAAAAAGGCTCAATAAATTAAATAATATAGGGGAACCTGGGGTATAATGGTTATAGTTAGATTTTTTCAAGTTTTAAACATATTAAAGATAAATAAATCAACTTTGTTATATATTAAAATATTTTTTGAAGTATTTACTATAAGGAAAACTTAAGTTTTACTGC